CTGACGATGATGAAGATAAAGAGTTGGAAAAAGTTAAATCCGGCAGATTCACCCTCAGGAAATAGTTCCATCTTGTGATGCCCATCTAAAAGCTGATGTTCCAAACCATGACTACTACATCATTATTTACTGAGTACTCAGAACTTAAGTTCTAAAACATGAAATACATGGAAGTCAATAGTACATTATTATATGCGTATACCCCGTACTCGTCGGTCAGACCATCCATCTTTGAAATCACCTGTAAAGTTTCATTACTGCATCTTTGGCAGATATGACGTTATCACAGTGTCAAAATCTGTCCACAGACAGACGTATAAACACCAAAGTTCTCAACACCACCTCTGCGGTATAGTTCACACTATAGACAGGACCGCATTTTGCCATGATGGCACACAAACACACACACACACACACACACACACACACATATACACACACACACAGGGTGCAAACAATACCAGCCACTGTGTTATGGCTGGTAACCACAGAGGGAGAATGGATGAGGCAGAATGAGCAGTACTGGGCTGTGATCACCACAGATGGGTCATTATCAACATTTGACTGTCTTGAAACCAAAGTGTTTCTCCTCAACACACTTGTTCAGAACATATGATGCAACATGTGCTGGAAGGAAACATTAGTCTAAACATGACAGCTAAATGAAACATTGCTCTTGGTTGTATTTGACACTAAATCTATTCCTTTACTCTTCAATCTTAATTTGTTGTTGCCTATGGATGTTTTTCCTTGTGGTAATATGGATCACCTCTCAAGGCACAATCTGCCCATCTCATTCCCTCATGGCAACATGCTCTGCTGTGAACTAGAAAGCAGCCAGCTGTTGTAGTAGGCTGTGACCATTTGTATATCCCTTTGTGCTACTCAGTGCTCATCAGCAATAACCATAACCTCAGGTTTATAGACACGGAGAGTTGCAGGGCCAATATTGAAGAGATACTCGTTCAGCCACCTGAGACTCTGTGAATTCTCACTGAGACATTATACAATTATTAATCATTTAAATATTCATTATTCAGTCCAGTCTGCAGGTTTCCCAGTAGTTTACGGGTGAGTCTCCAGCTAGCCCCTCAGCTCAAAAAAGGAAAAGGCATCATATCACTTTGAAGAGGAAAGATCAATTGCAAAATGCATGAAAATATAGTGTTCAAATCTCAAATACCAATGTACACAAATTAATTCTCTATCGTTGTTGCATAAGTGAAATTGGAAACATGTTAGTGGCCCAAAAGGACAGAATCCAAACAGGTTCATCAGGGTGAAATAATTCAGTATTGTTTGCTAAATAGGGAGATTTCCTCTCCCTGGAGGGAGGCTGCTGATGAAATCTGCGACAGGAGAAAAACTACAAAGAATAGCCTCCCAGAAAGTATGTGGCTGTGAGGAGGAATAAAAGAGCAGCAGGATAAAAACGACTGTATAACTGACTGCTTTGATTACAAGCGACCATACGGTGGAAAATAACAAATATGGAGAAAGACAGTCGCAGTATTATCCTCCATCTCTCAGTCTGGATCCTCAGCTCCTCCCCTATGCGCGCGGGGCTTCATTTGATCAAATCCTTCAACTTGGACCACTTAGGCTCAGCTGCACTTTTTTACAACACTGCATTTGGGCAACGCCACAACTTACGCAGCAGTTCCTCTTCCACAGCGCAGCAACAATTATCTCACAGCGGAGAGGCAGAGACAGGAGCGGGTAAAAAAAAAGGACTTCTTGCCTCCACCGCATCTTTCTGTGCCGCCAGCCATGGAGACCGGCTCAACATTTTGCCCAAAGTGGCACGGTGCGCTTTTGCTTTTGATGATGCTCAGTTTTCTCCATGCCGCCAAAGCTGAAATAACTTGCAGGTCGTGCCAGCCTGGAAATAAGTGGCGCGCACAGGAATTACTGTTGAATTTCGACATGAGTGAATCCTTGGCGGGGTTGAAGAAAGAAGTTTTTGGACGCGGAGACGGGGCAGCAGGGAGAGCCGGGGCTGCAGGTGGAGAAAGTCGGCGGCTCCGTTGCGCGGCGGGGTCCGCTGACTGCGCTCCGGATGAGGCGGAAAACGCGGGGCCAGGGCTGCGACGGAATACACGCAGCCTGCGCGCAAAAGGTGACATTGGTGAGGGAGAGTTTGCGAAGACTAAAGTTTCGTATGTGAAAATGAGTGGCCAGCAGAGGACCAGCGATGGTGCCGGCGTTACCTCTGCCGTCACACACAAAAAGCGCACCAGAAGGAACAGTGCTGATGATGAAGCCAGATTCCCCCGGTCAGCCCAAAGTCAGGACGCGGGAGAGGGCACCGGTCCGGCGGCTGCACGCAGAGTGACGCGCTCTGAAGTGCGCTGGAGCGGAGAGGAGCGGAGAGCCGGGGGTCCGAGGCAAGAGGAGCTAAAACTTAACAGTACCACGTTCGCCTTGACCGGGGATCCATCTCACAATCAGGCTATGGTGCACTGGTCCGGCCAGAACAGCAGTGTAAGTCATCCATTATGTCCACTTTAAACACCCTCGGGCACATGCGCCAATCCACAGAGGAGGGAGATGTGTGCGCTTATGCTGGCTGTCAGGTAGAAACACATTACTCAGGAGAGGAGCCAGATCTGAGCCTGATGCGCTGTTAAAGGTGTGTGTGTGTGCGTGTGTGTGTGTGAGAAGAGAGAGAGATTCAACCAAGAAGAAAGGCACAATCTCCCTCTTGTTTAATTAATGTCCAAGCTTATATATCTTCCATCTTTGGCTTCAACAACGAAGGTGGAATACTGGGGTTTCAGTTTGATCATGAATTACAGTAAAGGACATTAACAATAAGTGGGTTTATTCTGCAATTCAAACAGACACTGTTCAAGCCTTAATATTGCAATCAGGCCTAACCATGCACTTTTGGTTGGGTGAGTGCTTTTCTTTGTCAAGAGCAGGAGACTGATCTCCAGCGTTGAAGGGCGAGAGAGAGGAGAGGGCTTCATCACTGGAGCTTCCTCAGACTGGGCAGCTGAATTGATGTCATGATAAAGCATGTCGAGCACGGAGCATTTCTGACCAGCAGGCAGGATTTTCAAGTAGCGCCGTAGGTTGTGGGAGAGGTTAAGCAATTTCAGCCCTCCTCCCTCCTTTTGTGAGGCCACGTTTCCTGAGCCACAGGCCTAAAGCACCTGCAAAGTTTAGAGCTGAAAAGTGGCCTCTCTTCTCCGCCCTTTCACCTGCTGGCCTCGGATCCTTTCATGTGAAGGCAGGAATGAGAGGTTCAGGGATTTGTCCGTGTGGCAGCAGTTCTCAGGGGTGGGGAGGTATTCACAGGTTCTTCAGCTTTGAAAGAAGGCAATCAATTGTTCTATTAATAGTTTTGTATGTGATTTTAACAGAGAACGTTTGCCTTCGGAGTAGCTGCTGCTTGGGTTGCCCATGTAGCAAAGGAAACTAGCCATTACAAAAAAAAACATTAAATGTAAAGAAATACTTAAAAAGAAACACTCACATTTCTAAAAGAGAGACAGTGGAAGGATACTATAGGCAGAAACGTATAAAATAATATTATGCATAATTGTTATTATTTTCAATTTTATTAAATGGTCATTATTTCCTTTTAATTCATTGAATTAGCTAAATATCACAAAATAGTGACACAAATCTTATACTGTCTCATCTTAGCAGGACTTTGTGTTCGTCCAACTTTCTCAAATCCAAAGATCGTTAATTCACAATCATGTAAAAGAGCACACATCCTTACATTCGATTTTTCGAGCTGTGGAATCGAGGCTATTTTACTTGAAAAATGACAGTGGCAGAAGACATTTCAGTTTAAGTGCTAATGTACTGTTCGGGTATGGTACAGACAAAGGGTTTTAAACTCTGCAGCCTCACAGTAGACACACATCGCAGCACTGTGTGGGATTCATGTTTTAACATTACTGCTGGATGCATTGTCCAGGTGATGATGACGTCAAACGTGTCCTTCACCTGAGTTCAGCTCTGCTTGTGGCCCCTTCGATTGCACGTCTTGTAGCGCAACAGCTGCCGGAATTTATTAAATAGTTTTCCACCTCAGTATAAATAATAACACAACAAGAGAGGAAAGGGATGAAGTGTGTGCGAGTTCAGTGTGTGTTTGTTAGAATACCCATTTGTTTCTAAATCACCTTTTTAGTTTTGCAGCCGCTGTCTCCTTGGAGCATTAATGTGCAGTGTATCTACCACTACAGTGTAGCGGGCAGTGATGCTGGATGTGTCATTCTGCACAGTGTCGTCCATGGTGCAACATTTTACTGCTTGTTTTACCAGCTGGCTTTTATTCTGCTGCATCTTTGTTTGCTTTGTAGAAAAAAAGGTCTTTGTCTCGTGTTGAATTTGAGCGCGAAACAGAATCTTTACAAAACACACTTTATGTATCCCCGGCGAAAATGGAATCCTATAGATTATTGCTGTAAACTGTAATTAACATTGGGAAAAGCTTAACTTAAAAAAAACAAATCTCTCGAGCGCAATTCAAATGTATTCATCTGCTGTGAGGACTGATGGCTCCATACGGCTGCGTGTTCTTCTTCTCCCTCTGAGTCAAAATATAATTAACATGAACTGAGCATCAAATGCAATAAAACAAATTAAATCAAGGCCTAAATAAAAAATGAATATGTGTCCTTAAACCAGGCTTCCGCAAGTCCATGTCCTGACTGCTGCACCACTGCACTGCTCAGTGTTACAACCACACCACTTAGCCCTGTCTGTAACAAAACCAATTACAGTCAAACACGTATCAGCGGCTCTCATGCCCTGCACTTTGCTTCTGCCTGAAATTCCATCCTGTGCTTCAGGTGTTTCTATGAGCTTGACAAACTACTGTAGTTTGTGACAAAATGTGACCTTACAGACAGTGGAGGCAAGAAAATAAATACACCTGAAAATGTCAGATTCTTGCAAAGATTTTTCCATTTATCATTGTTATTTTTTCCCTCCCTGTCATTTTTTGTCTGCCCTCAAAATAAAACAGACAATCATCACTATGTATCAGCCCCGTTTGGTTTTGCGATGTTAAAAGATGCTGCTTTTGCTACTGTGAAACAATTTGCCCCTATTCTTTCAGTTGACGCAAACAACTTACTCGAGGCATGCGAGAAGAGAGGATCTGGCATTAAAAATGTAGAGTTGTTGCTATAAGTGGGAACAGACGTCCTCGGTCTTTACAATCTAAGCTGTTGTATAAATAAACACATGAGTAAACAACATGGCACGGAGTTAAAGTGAAAAGGATACAGATAAGGGCTCTGCTGCTCGCAAAATTTAACCTTTAAGGCATTTACAAGGCTCGTCTGTTAAGCATCCCACACTACTGGAAGCCTGTATGTCAGATTGGATTGGAGGTTATAATTAGGACCCATGCAGCATTGGCCACAAGAGTCAAATAAGCATTGTAGGCCAACGGCAAATACTGAAAAACATGTATCATTAGGACAAATACACGTGCAGCAGTTGAACGGACTGTACTTAATTTAGTAAATGATGGAAAAATATGATTATAATAAAAAAAGATGCAGGATGTTGATGTGGAGACTCAGGTTAGGTTGCTCTCATTCCTTATGCTGTTTATTGTGCTTGATCATGTCTTGAGTTTTGTACCACTTAAAGGTCCAGTGTGTAAGATTTAGGTGAAAGGGAACTATTGGCAGAAATTTAATGTAGAATAATCCTCATGATGTTTTCACTAGTTCGTTTCATCTAAATTGTATGAATTGTAGTTTTCTTTAGCTCAGAAAAGACCCTTTATATTTAAATACTTTATATTTACATCGAGGGGACCCTCTCTACGGGGGCCGCCATGTTTTTTACATTAGTCCAGACTGGACAAACTAAACACCTTTTGAGTTTTTATGATAATTGAAGTCTACCACAGGTTCTTTTTCATGTTTGGAAGGAGAGGGTGAGGTGAGGGGTGTTCAGCTGCAACATGTGATATCAACACTAGATATCACAACATTTTACACACTGTACCTTTAAAGCAATGACCCAAAGCTTAACCTCCCCTCTAAGTCACATTTGATGGACTGCTGTTAGCATCAGTGTCACCAGCTGCCATGTGATGGGTTTGATTGAGACATGTTACCAGTCCTCCAGCACTAAACATGCTGTCACACACCGTGTCCCATTTTTCTCCGTTCACACCACGTTTGTTTTGATTTGGTGCTATACAAATAAACTTCAATATAATTGCATTTTAACTTGAAATCCACCATAAACATGTCACTTTTTGTATAAATAACCACTGCTGCCTCACAAAAAGAAGGTTGTGGGTATGAATCTGCCAGCCTGGACTGCTCTGTGTGGAATTTGCACGTTGTCCCCCAACTGTGTTGGTCAGGTTCATTTGCGACTGTAAGAGCATGAGGCAATGTGACCATGAATGGCTGCTGCCCTGTGAAAGACTGGCAGCTCATCCAGGGTGTACCCTGCCTCTCAAATGTCACTTGTGATTGGCTCCAGCCCACCGTCAGCCCTGAGAGGATAAGCATTGTAGCTAATGGAGAAGTATCAGGGGGAGTATACATCATTTTCATTTATGCAAGACAGGTTTACATAATACCCATTCTGTTCATCTATTGTGTGCTGTATGGAGAATTGGTTTTCCTCATTTCTGGCTGTGTGTTGTTCACATTGTTCAAAGTCACTATCTGGTAATGGTAAATGTATTTATATAGCGTTTTTCTAGTCTTTATGACCACTCAAAGGTTTTTGCCCTTCACCCATTCACAAATCATACATTCATATAGTGCAATGATGGGTTCAGTATCTGGTAATAGACAAGCATGCTCTGGTGTTTCTCCGTTTATCAGTTTTCTCACTCTGATCATATTGTATTCTCCAAAGTAATTACTCTGAACTCAGATCATGGCAACATTGTTGAAATAATTACAGCAGGTCAACAATCTCGAGTTAGACAAACTTACAAATTTAGATCAAATGTAGTAAAAATGATTGGAGTTTGAAAACCAACTATTTGGTTCTTGTGTAAGCAATGACACCTGTCACGATACAGTAATAAAGCTTTAAAATGAATTCATCAAATGCCAAAAAAAAAAAAAAAACTTCCTTAACTGAATACATTTAATCTCCAACTAACCTGGCTAAACTTTTAACTCATTTCTTTTACAATCTGACTGCATATTGATTACAGGCTGTTTAACAACTTTAGATCGTAGCAGTTACTTGATTTATACTCAAATTGAAATGAACTATAGTTATCTTTAAACTGCACATTCTATTGCAGGTAAAAAGACGTGGATAGGGCGTATTGTTACTAGCAGTAATGTGAATTAATATATGTTAAAGCCATAATCTGTAGAGTTGTAGTGAGATAATTTTTGTTCCGTAAGTGTACATTAACTTGTGATACTGAGAGTCTCCATGATTTGAAATTGTGTTTACATGTGGTTTTTAATCCACTGTGAAACACCTGACAGCACATTCAACATCATCCCAGGCAGAGACGT